AAWMGYACGGATAAAGATTTCATTAATAAAGAAGATTTTCCACTGTAAAGGCCGAAGAGCTAACGCTAAACCGTCAGCGTCAAAAAATTTTTACGGTGGCCAACGTGCATTATCAAATCAGTTGATAAAACGAAGCTATCAAGTTATACCCCCACCGAAGCAGCACCACAGTTTCGTTAGAAACTTACGTCCTTTATAAATTATTATATTTCATTAAAAAACCATCTCCAATCTAGGATCATAATGGCGAACACCAATCTTGCTCTCCAGTATTCATGGGATATTGTGGTGAAAACAATTTCTAAATCACTTTTCGTAGAATAATAGTTAAATAAGAAAATAATGGTCGAAAGAATCAACTTTCCTTATATGATGAATATGATGCACGAAGAATCTGAGTTCGAATGCTATTTAGCGGAGTCTCTCACCTATTAAAATGTGAGGAAGGGCTTGTCACCTCCCTTTCTTTTAAAGATAAAAGGGTGTGGTGAAATAAATGTATTTTTTCGAGTGGAAGATTGGAAAGTTATTTATGTAGTTTCTCTAGTATCTTTTAAACAACTTTAACGCAATTTTGCAATAAGACAGAGGTTGTCGACTTCCTCTAAATTTGTGTCTTGTGATTTCATTTTCTAATGGCTTCTTTATCTTATGTCAAACCCTTAGATGACTGGCGAGTGATTCAGTTCAAAGCAGGAACGAAGAACAAGATCCTAACAAAACACGTCATAAGAAGTGAACAAGTACTGGACAAGGATATCTGCGAATTAAAATGCTATTTTGAACCGAATTGTGTGTCTTACAACTTTGGTCCGCTGGGAGACGGAACATTTAAATGCGAGCTGAGTAACAGAACCCGTTTGCAAGTCTCTTCCAGCTACTTCCAGAATCAGAACGACTTTATATACAGAGCAATCATTGTAAGCACATGCCAATGTCAGTTTTACGAAGATTATCTGCTTAAAGTTGAATCGCCTCCTTTATCTATTTATCCACTAAATTATCTTTTATCTATCGATCTATCTACTTACTCAGTCTACTTATCTACTCAATTTATTTATTCCATTTCAGAATTCCTGTGAGAGCAATCCTTGTGCTAGTTACTCGACATGTCAAGCGGGGTTTGGTAATCGTGGATACCGCTGTATTTGCTCTGATGGATACGAAGGAGAACATTGCCAAAATGGTGAGAAAGTAAACTCCTCGCGATAGCTTTACAAACTGAAGATAGTTCAATCATTTTCAAAGTTCACAGTTAAGCCTATCCTGTAATCAAGTTTAATGTCTTTGCGTGGGGCATAGTTGCCCATATTTCCCGAGCCAGAGGCTCATGTAATCGCGAGACGACACACACCCATCCCATCCCAGGGGAGGACATCCATCACACAGTAATCTCGTGCGTGGAAAATTAACGTCTCCTACCCCTAACCCTGCAGGAAACGGGACCTTCATTTATTCGTCCCTATCCGAGAAGACTAGAATATCTAAACAAGCTCTTGATGTTATAGAAAGGCAGCATATTCTTGTCAATTATTTTAAGACCTTGAGTGTTGGTCCGGCCCGGGGCTCGAACCCTCCAGCGCTCTATCAATTGAGCTAACCGAGAGGCGGTTTCTTGGAATCGACTATAAACAACCTTCAAGCTGTCACTTTTCAAGGCGTTTTTTCTTCAAATTTGGGCACTGAAACTAGAAAACGTTTTGCTGAAAACGTGATTTTTCGTTAATAATTTTTCCTACGCCCAGATCACTCTTATATTCCCTTCCTACCTAGATATCGATGAGTGTAGCGATGGAAGCAACGACTGTCATTTTGCGGCTAATTGTACAAACCCCGCTGGATCATTCGACTGCAGTTGTAGGTCTGGATACCTTGGAGATGGACAGTACTTATGCTCAGGTACATCTCGATCTTTGCGGTTTGAACAGAACGACAATTTTTTTCAAATAATTTTCCACAAATTAATCACTTTTTGGTTATCCTCTCTAAGTCATTTTACTGTTTTATAATACCTTAACACTATCTTTGAAACCTAAAAAACTTTTTAACAGATAACTGGAAAAAGGTGAACGTTGATCCTGTCTGTTTTCGAACAAGAAATAACGACTATGGATCCTTTGTAATCCAGGAAGCCGGTCAAATCTTGACGTTCAAACTTCTGCATATAAGTGGCTCCGTTACATGTGACACCAAATTCCCTTCAACTAACTGGGGATGTTTGAGGCAAGAATACGGAAATGACAACTTAATGACGGTGATAACTTACAGCAATAAAACAGTTCTTCCTCTTGCTGATTTCGTGAAAGGTAACGCCAACAACAAGTACTACACATACCAACTTGGTGGAGCTGATGTCAACTCTCCCACGCTTGTGTTTAACCCTCTCCCCACTCCACTGGTTGTATCGGTTGGACAGCAGTTCCAAATATGGTATGCGCACGACTTGGTTGATTCCACCGAGTCTAATAACAGTGGTGAGACGTGCGCAGATGTTTATGCTTTGTACTCCTAAACTGAAATTCAGCACTAAATTGAATAATAGATTCGGAAGGCCATTAGTTTTTTTACGGAGATCGAAGTTAACAAGATCAAATTAAAGTCAAACTCAAAGAAAAAAATCTCAAAAGTACGCCAGAAAGATTTATGAAATGTCATTGGGAGGTGAAAAAGAAGCCTTTTAGCTAGCTGTTCGATAAGTAAACTTGAAACGGAAACGGTTTATAATTGTTAGGTTTAATGGAGCATGAAATCTCTAATTAGAGCCCATACATATTTGGGGCTATCAGTTTCCCAACACGTTCCTTTTGTTAGCTATTACGATGAGAATCCTGGATAAGAATCCTGATTGTGATATAGTTCCATCTGCAACTAGTTCCCCCCTCCCCAAAACACTGTAATATTATCTAAATTTTTTTACTGCGGTTATTTATTACCTTGAGACCTGCGTTCTGTTGTAGATAAACTTTAACACTACCTTAAAAGGAAAGTGTCAAATGCATGTCAACGGTGTGGAGTTCCTTAGCTTTCTCTTTCATAAGCAACCAAGTTCCATTTGGTTTCTGTTATCGTGATATTTTAGGAGGGACCGTCAATTCGGTATATTAGTATAGATTTTTTCAGACAGTAAATCAGTAGACTAAAGACTGAGTATGACCCATGTTTGTCGGTCTTCCTCGTGCTCCAATTTAAATTTGTTTCCAATAATTCTCTATAATTTTATTTTGAATGGCGTACGTGCTATTTAAATACAAGAACTGAAACCCTGGGACTCGCCGACGCGGTGTTCCCGCCAACAAAAATTGGCGCCGACGTCTATATCAGGGGCTTTTTGAACAGACGAACTAGAAGTCCCATTTGTGATAATAGTTTAAGCTAATAACTCTTTGAGCCCACAATTTTTTCTGGTTTATATGGGGCCGATTGCCGAGATCCCTTTAGTCTGGTGCTAATCTATAAGACACTCTGGTGTTGTTATTCATTCACAATCATCACAATCAATTAAAATGAATTTTTTAAATCTTATATGGGTAGAAAAGAAGGATTGAGAGTTGAAGAGATGTTAATTAGACTTGTCTAAGTCTGAAATGTTTAATAATGTTTTGCGGGCGCGCTGCTATCTACGGCAATTACAATAAGACAACAGGCTACTATTTGCATGTTAAAACTTCACCAACAAGCATTTTAAAATGCTTTTTTATGAAAGAAGTAAAATCAAGTCCATGTCATAGAAATATACTCATTGTGTGTGCTATGGCTATAGTTACAGTAGTTGAATTCAAAATCTAAAGGCGCCCTCTGTAACCAGGGGGGGGGTGTCCACGGAGTGCGTTCGCACCTCCTACAGGCCCCAAAGGTCCGCATTTTGATACTCAGTATCCAAGTTAAAGAGTGCAGTCGGTGAAACTGAAGTTTAAAACTTAACGGTGATACTCAAACAAAATCAAAGAATGGAAAAAGCAGTAATGTATTCACTGGTAAACTAAAACCAGCTGTACTCGAGGTTGCCTATTTACCCACCAATGGCGTAGCTCCGTTTTCTGCACATAAACCCACATACAACCCACAGCTCCTCCATTCGCTCTGACGAATAGCTAACGCTCGAAACGTCCGCTTTTTTATTCGTTACGGTGGCCAATTTACAGTTTCAACTTTGTTGATATAACCAAATTAACTTCAAGTTCAAATATGCAATTAACCACCTTGTGCGCCTGAGTTATTGGAGAAAAATGCGCTTTTTCCAACTTCCAAGAATTTCAAACTGAAAATTTCCAACGTGGTCTGCGAAAAATCCTTCTAAGCCTCTCCTCGCCTAAAATATCCACAGAATCAATGAACCGTTTTCTTTTGAGCAAGTTTGGACAATTTATTCACCGTCAAATATATTTAAGAAAAACCTAAACTTAATTCTTTCACAACATTTCGGTTCTTTTATTCTCTACAACAAAATCACCCTATTCCCCAAAAGTCTTTTATAAATGATTCCCCTCCAACATTTCAAATAGAAACTGTATTGGGCTAGAAAAATCAATATTAATTTCACATAGGAGAATGTTTTAACTTCTTCTCATCAAGTGTTTGTTATCCACTCTAGGGCAACATGGCTGTCGGGTTAGCGAACAATGTAAAAATCTCTCAAGCATTTTCCACAAAAGTGTATTTGCAGGTCGAGAAAAAAATAAATGTTTCAACCACCCGAACGAGTGTCGCCTAGAGTCTTCTCGCACTTATTTAGTTAAATATTTATCACTCCAGTATCGATTTAAAAAAAAAAGTTAGGAAGGGTAATTTAAAAGCGATGGTTGATAACAAGAACCATTTTTGAGGGCTATTTGCCCATAACATTTTCATTAAAATTTATAACAGGAAAGGTTCTCACCTTTTAGAAGCAATTCGTAGGCGTAGAACACCAACAGAATAGCTTTTATCATAGAGTTGTCGGTTGACGTTATGCAGCTGCAATTAACTTTTTAGCGGGTTTAAAAAATAAAAAAAAAGAAGTTTGCATGCAATTGTAGTTTGTCGATCTGAACCACTGCACGTCGACAAACTTTAACAATAATAACTAAGCCTTTAACTTTTATTATATTTGCGAATTAATAGAGTAAATCAGTAGAATATAGATTCCAGCTCCAACAACTAAGTAAACGACGAACTCGCCGTGTAACAAACTGACTTCAGCCTTCCAACTGATACGTTATTATAATTGACTATTAACATCAGGTGAAGAATATCTTAGGAATATGGTATCTGTAAACTCGAAACCAATCACACTATTCACACTATTTTCCCGAGGACAGGCCCGTAACCAGGATTTTATGTGGGGGGTGGGAGGGGGGGGGTGCTATCGAGGAAAAAGAGGACCAAACTACCGAAATGTATTTTTTATTGTCTGATCCGTTTATTTAGGAAAGTAGCAATACATAAGAAATTGTAACGGCAAAGTATACGGTAGAAACTGAATATTGCATTTGTCGAATGCAACTGTTTGAATTAAGTTACAAAGGACTAATTTTACGATATAAAATCACTAATCCCTCAGAATAGTCCCGAGCTCCAGCCTCCGTGGGTGTTTGGCGGCAAACAGATTTACCACCTCATCCAAAACAGTTTTAACTTGATAACGTAGGTGCATTAGTGCGAGGGACGACAGCCTTTCCTGGCCCATGCATCCCCTGTTATATGTATGCAGCCGCCTTAAAGTACTCGCACTTCTTTCCCATTCACAGCTCGTTTCAGGAAATGTGGCGCATATCTTGAATAACGCATATATATTTGGAAATACATCATCATCGCACTCCTTAAGAATGGCTTCTGAAACACATTTAACGATAAGCCTATTTCTGTTAATATTCTTCCGCTTTCCTTCATCTATTCGGTTGTTGACTTTTAGCTCTGGGTTCTCATCCGAATTAAGGAAGGATTCGGTAGCGATCATTCCATCGTGATGGTACTTCATTTTCTCATGTATTTTTGTTGCAGCCTTCCTCTTTCTATATTCCTGTTCTCTCCTACCCATAACGTATAATACAAAA